TCGGGGTGCCTCAGTGAGACAGAGGCCTCTTGGATGCCTCTCGGGGTCGCGTGGGATGCCTTCGGAGTCGTTTGTGATGCCTCCTGGGGGGTTCTTGATGGATTCTCAGGGCGCCTCGGGGGCATCTGTGGGGCTCTTTCTGTAGGCTTCTCGGGAGCGCTTATGCCTCTTAGGACTGTCGGGGCCTCCGTGGGCTCTCTTGGGGCCCTCTTGGTTCGAGCTTTGTAGGTCTTATTGGGACCATCTGGGAGGATATCGATCAAAGAAGTGGGGGTCCTTCATTACCGCCTTCCTTCTTCTGCCCTTCAAATCGCCCCGTGGGGCTCTATTTGGGCGCTCTTTGGACCGTCTTGGCGCCATCTTGTAGCCATGTGGAGGCCTCGGAAGGCCATCGGAAACGAAAAGGCGAGAAGGTCACTTGGACCCGTTTTGGAGCGGTCGTGGGACTTCCTGGAGTATGTTGGACGCCATCTTGGGCTCCCTGGACCCTCACAGAGCTTTCTTGGGTCAACATGGGCGCTCTTACTACCCGCGATCCCTTCCCGTCCAGATCCAGGGGTAGGCCACCCCAAGCCGCAAGCCATGTCGCTCACTCCTTACCCGCCCTCCCACTACGTCAGTAGCACTCGAGTCTCGGGCGAACTTGGGGTTATCTTGGACTCTCTGAGGCCGTCTTGGAGGACGTCTTGGAACATCTTCGGCGGACTTGGAGGCCATCTGGGACCATCGTGGAGGCCATCTTGGAGGCCATCTTGAGCCGTCTTAGAGAATTTGTTGTGGACGTTGAGGTCGTTTTCGCGCCTGGAGCTCCCTCCCAGGACCCCTGCGGGACGGGCCGAAGCGCTAGGGGGAGTTCTTTTGGAAAAAGAACCAAAACCAAACCTTAAGAAGTCCAGCACGCCAGGCACCCCTGCGATGAATCGACAGGGGGCGTCGGATCGAAGACGCCTACGGCGAATCACTGCCGCACCCTGCCTTTTTGGAAGCGCCTATGTGGCCGAACGTTGAGGCCAGACTTGCCAAGCTATCGGACCCTGTGTTCCCCGAATCGGTTTGGAAAGCCTTCGGGGAACACGTGGGCATCTCGAAGATCATCTTGGCCGTCTGGAGACCGTTTTGACCCTTTCAGGCCTTCTTGGAGGACGTCTTGGAGGCTCTTGGCCCGTCTTGGAGGCCATCTTGAGCGTCTTGGAGGCCTCTTGGGGCCGGCCTCTTGGGGCCGTCTTGGGCCTCTTGAGCGATCTTCGGGGGCATTCGGGCCGTCTCGGGCAGTCGGAAGGCCGAAAAGAAGCAAATGCTACAATCCTTCAAAGACCCATGGGAAAATCAATGATTTGGGCCCTTCCTGGAGGCCCTCTCGGAGGCCTCTTGGGCCGTCTTGGGCCATCTTAGGGCCATGTTCGGCCGTCTTGATGGGCTCCTGGTCAGTCTGACGCCGCCGGAAGCCGTTTGGTGGGCCTCTCTGGGCCGACTTGGGGTCCTCTTGGAATGCTCCAGGGCCGTCTTGGAGGCCATCTTGGGCGTCTTGGAGGCCTCCTGGGCCGTCTTGGGGGCCTCTTGGGGCCGTCTTGGAGGCCTCTACGGTCGTTATGGGACCATCTTGGAGGCCTTTGGGGTGATCGTTGGGCGATCTTGGGGGGCTCTTGGGCCGTATCGGGCAGTCGGAAGGCCGAAAGAAACGAAGGCAAACGAAGCAAGTGTTTTTGGCCCTTTCTGGCCTTCCTTGAGGCCCTCTTGGAGGCCTCTTGGGCCGTCTTGGGCCAGCTTCGAGCCAACTTCGGCCATGTTGGTGGGCTCCTGGCCCGTCTGACGCCGTCGGAAGCAGTTCGGGGAGCATTTCTGGGCCGATTTGGGGCCCTCTTGGGGTGCTCCAGGGCCGTCTTTAGAGGCCATCTTGGGCGTCTTGGAGGCCTCTTTGGTCGTCGTTGTGCTCTCTTGGAGCCGTCTTGGGGGCCTCTTGGGCAGTCCTGAGGCCATCTTGGAGGCCTCTTGGGCGCTGTGGGGGCGATCTTGGGGGCTTCTTGGGCCGTCGTGGGTCGTCGGAAAGCCGAGAAGAAGCAAATGCCAGAATCTTTCAACAACCTAAGGAAAATCAATGATTTGGGCATCTTCGGGCCCTCCTGGAGGACCTCTTGGAGGCCTCTTGGGCCGTCTTCGAGGCCTCTGGGGGGCCTCTCGGGCCGTTTTGGGCCGTCTTGGGGGCCTTTCTTGGGCCGTCTTGGACCATCCTGGGCGAATTTGGAGGCCATCTTGGAGGCCATATTGGGCCAACATGGCCATCTTGGAGGCCATTTTGAGCCGTGTTGGAGAATTGTTTGCGGACGTTGAGGTCGCTTGCGGTCCTGGAAGAGCTTCCGGGCACCCCGGCCGTACGGGCCGACGCCCCAGGGGGGGTTCTTTTGGAAAAAGAACCAAAACCAAAACCGTAAGAAGTCCAGCATGCCAGGCACCTCTGCGATGAATCGACAGGGGGCGTCGGATCGAAGACGCCTACGGCGAATCACCGCCGCCCCTTGCCTTTTTTGGAAGCGCCTATGTGGCCGAACGTTGAGGCCAGACCTGCCAAGCTATCGCACCATGTGTTCCCCGAATCGGTTTGGAAAGCCGTCGGGGAACACGTGGGCATCTCGAAGGTCATCTTGGCCGTCTAGAGACCATTCTGACCCTTTCGGGTTCTTGGAGGACGTCTTGGAGGCTCTTGGGCCGTCTTGGAGGCCATCTTGAGCGTCTTGGGGACATCTTGGGCCGTCTTGGGGGCCTCTTGGGGCCGTGTCTTGTGCCTCTTGGGCGATCTTCGGGGGCATTTGGGCCGTCTCGGGCCGTCGGAAGGCAGAACAAAACGCAAACGCCACAATCCTTCAAAAACCTACGGGGAAATCAATCATTTAGGCCGTTTCGGGCCTTCCTGGAGACCCTCTTGGAGGCCTCTTGGGCCGTCTTGGGCCAGCTTCGAGCCAACTTCGGCCGTCTTGGTGGGCTCCTGGTCCGTCTGACGCCGTCGGAAGCAGTTTGGGGGGCCTCTATGGGCCGACTTGGGGCCATCTTAATGCTCCAGGGCCGTCTTGGAAGCCCATCTTGGGCGTCTTGGAGGCCTCCTGGGCCGTCTTGGTGGCCTTTTGGGGCCCTCTTGGGCCGTTATGGGGCCATCTTGGAGGCCTCTAGGGCGATCTTGGGCCGTCTTGGGCCAGCTTCGAGCCAACTGAGGCCATCTTGGTGGGTTCCTGGCACGTCTGACGCTGTCGGGAGCCGTCTTTGGGGCCTTCCTGGGCCGACTTGGGGCCCTCTTGGGGTGCTTCGGGGCCGTCTTAGAGGCCATCTTGGGCGTCTTGGAGGCCCTCTTGGGCGTGCTGGAGGCCTCTTGGGCCGTCTTGGGGCCCTCTTGGGGCCGTCTTGGAGGCCACTTGGGCCATCATGGGGCCCTTTTGGGGGCCTCGTGGGCGATCTTGGGGGCCTCTTGGGCTATCTTGGGCCGTCGGAAAGCCGAAAGGGCGCAAATGCCAAAATTCTTCAAAAACCTAAGGCAAATCAATGATTTTGGCCCTTTCGTGCCTTCCTGGAGGACGTCTTGGAGGGCTCTTGGGCCGTCTTGAAGGCATCTTGCGGGCCTGTTGGGCCGTCGTAGACCATCTTGAGGCCATCATTGGCCGTCTTGAAGGCATCTTGGGGCCATCTCAGCCGTTTTGGAGGCCATCTTGGGCCGTCTTGGAGACCATCCTGGGCCATCTTGGCCGTCTTGGACGCCATCTTGGGCCAACTGGAGGAAACAGAGGCACGGCGGATGCGTTTGAGATCCTTTCAGGTGGCCGGCGGGACGGGCCGAAGCCCCAGGGGGAGTTCTTTTGGAACAAGGACCAAAACCAAAACCGAGAGGATTCAGCACGCCAGGCACCCCTGCGATGAATCGACAGGGGGCGGCGGATCTAGTGGCCTTCGGCCCATCCCGCCACTGTGCTTGGCGCCCTCTTGGCTCCGAAAAAGTCAAGCCACGAGCCGCGCCAATCCCCGGGGAGATTTGGCAATTTGGGTTCTGGGCCCCTGAGAGACTCTGCAGGAGTGAGAATTGAGGCTCAGAGGATTTGGCAAAAGGCCTTAGGACGCCCACTCCGTGCCCAGCGGCATGGTGGCGGACGCTTCGAAGAATGACAACCCGACGGTACAAACATAAGTTCTAAGACTGTCAAAACGACGTCATAAACATCAGTTCTCGGAAGTCTAGGATTGGCGCTGGTCCCACCTGGCGACGCCTCCGTCGCCGCCCCTGGCGCGCTCCACGCGCCGGGGAGGAGGGTCCCCCGACCCTTCTTCTCGAACCTCCTGCTCGATCCCCCCCATCCCGCCCTCATCGTCCACCTGCTTCTTCTTCTTCTTCTTCTTCTTCTTCTTCTTCTTCTTCTTTTTCTTCTTCTTCTTCTTCCCCCCGCTAAACAAATCGTCCAGACCTCTCGCGTGGGTTGCGCTCCGGTTTGTAGTTCCGAGCCCGATCTCCAGCTGCAGCGGCGAACGCGCCCCAGGACGGCCCCGGAAACGCTCCAAAAAGCATGTGTCCTCGAGCCTAGAGCCCCTCCGCCTTTTCGTCATCGTCGTCGTGGTCCTCCCTTTCCTTCTCCTCCTTCTCCTCCTCCTCATCCCTCCTCCTCATCATTATCACCATCATCATCGTCATCAGCAGCATCATCATCATCACCATCATCATCAACAACATGTTCATCCTCCTCCTCTTTCTCATCATCATCATCACCATCATCAGTAGTATCAGCATGATCATCATCATCGTCATCATCGTCAGCATCATGATCATCATTTCATCATCATCACCACCATCATCATCATCATCATCATCATCATCATCATCATCACTATCATCATCAGCATCATCATCTCGTCGTCCTCCTCACCATCGCGTCCTCCTCGTTCCTTCTCCCTCCCTGGTCTTCCTCATTCTCGCTTCTCCGTCGCCGTCCTCCTATTCCCCCTCGACCCTCCTCCTCCTACATCGAGAGGGCATTGTCTACGGGAAGCCCACGAACCAGGGCGTCAAGCACTGGAAGACGGTCCGGAACCTGCGGAGCATCGCCGAGGAGCGAAGCGGCGCTGCCGTCATTGCCACGCACGCGCGACGACGACGAGGACGACGGCGACCGCGACCGCGACCGCGAGGAGGAGGAGGACAAGGAGAGGGGGAGGTCGAACTAGGTGCGCGCGCGCGCTCGCGCCTCATCTGACATCCTGGCTCTCCCCCCACCCCTTCCCTGGAGCGCTGGAGCTCTCGTTCGCTGTCCCGTACTGATCCATTGTTGTCTGCGGACGCGTGTCATAGCCGACCTGCGACTCCCACAGAAAGGCCACCCTCGTGATGTGCGTAATCGGAGAAGGGGGAGCTGCATACTCAGGAGGAGGGGGAGGAGGTGGCGGGTGATCAGGAGGATGAGCGGGAGGAAAGGATGAAGACGAACAGCAGCAGCAGCAGCAGCAGAAGCAGCCGGAACTACAGCGGACGGATCGGGAAGAAAAGGAGATCCAGGAGAAGGCGGAGGAGGAGAAGTGAGGGAGGGGCGTCAACGATGAAGAAATACTCGGAGTCAGAGGAGTGGCCCTCGCTGGCGCGAGGCCAACGGAAGCAGCAGGAGCTGGAGTGGAAGGAGCGGGCTGTGACCAGGAGGACCAGTCGGAAGGCGGAGGAGGGGAAATGAGGGGGGGAGCACAATGAAGCCAGGCGCGGATTCAGAACAGTGGTCCGCGTTGGGACGAAAGCGCCAGTCTGAGCGACGGGAGCAGAGCGCCGATCCGAAAGTGAGGCCCACGTTGCAGCGGGAACACCATTTTGATGAAGCGTTGAAAACAATCGAAACTGCAAACAGGCCGCAAGGATCACCAACTTTTGAAATCGTGTGCGTTAAAAACAACAGCACGAGAAGGGTGGCATTTGTTTATCATCTACGGCGTGGGGCGGAGAGAAGTACTCAGATTGTGTGATTGTGGAGTGGGAGCAGGTAGGCAGGGGGGAGGGAGGAGGGAGGGAGGACGGAGGACGAGAAGGCGGCGACGGCGACGACGACAGCGGCGGCGACGAAGACCGAGGATCGAGACGTCCCCCCAGACACCCAGGGGGAGGGCGAAGAGCAGAAGGAGGAGGACGACGACACTGATGATGAGGACGGGCTGGAGGAGGAGGAGGAGGATGAGGAGAAAGAGGTCCTCCTTCCTCCTCGTCCTCCTCCCTCCTCGTACTCCCCTCGGCATCTCTTGGCGCGCATCCTGACCAACGTTCCGAGGCGAATACAGCCGTGGAAACGAGGGCGCCCCAGAGGCCCGTATGCAGAAGCCTCTTTTGTCATTCGAAGCGGAGGCCATTGTTCTCAAGGAAGCAGTCGAAAACATGGCGCGATTGGTTGTTGGCAAAGTTCTGGCGACATAGAGAGTCATCTTGAGGATGAGTTTCCTGCGTCCACGCTCCGCCTCTCGCCAGAAAGCAGGCGAGGCCTGAGGTTGTTCACCATTCTCAGGCTGTCGGTCACCACCCACCAAACCACCCCAACCCAACCCGAAGGCTCAGATTTAGCCTCGATTTCTAGTGGGGGGGGGGTTCGGGAAACATCGAAAAAACACGCGTGGAACCCTTACCCCCCCCAACCCGAAATTCGGGTCTTCGGGTTGGGTTGGGGTGGTCTGGTAGGTAGTCAGTCGGTGCCCTCTGCGGCCCCAGGACAGTCAAACGACGCCTGGGGGTAAAAACCTGGTCTCGGGGAAGGCCCCCCTGGGGTCCAGGACCCGCTTCACTCCGGACCCGCTCCCTTCGTGCGAAACCTCCCGCGGGGTTCTCTGCAGCTCTTCCTGGAAGTCCCGGGCGGGCCCGCGGAGGCCCGCGGGCCCTTTCGGAGAGCCAGCCGCGCCCAAGACCGTGCAGACCCGTTGTCGGTCGTCGATGCTTCTTCGGAGGTCCATTCGATTCTTGCTCGGCGGCGAGCGAGGGGGGCGGAAATGAGAAGGAGAAGGTTCTTTTCAGGAGGTTCGGAAGCCCCCCCGGCCGTCTGAGAAGTGTTGTTGTCTATTCAGTCCTCCTCCACGTCCTGCTCCGTCCGACCTCATCATCCCTCCTCGCTGTTCGTTCGTCCTCCCCGCTCCTTCCCTACCCCTCGAGGAGCGCGCCGGGCGCAAGCTCGCCAGCCTCCGCGTGCTGAACTCGTACTGGGTGGCCCAG